CTCCCCCATCCTGAATCTTGCCCTCAGCCCTCCCCCCACCTCCCACCCCCTGCCCAGATTCCTGCACCCCCAGCCTCTGCCCTGAGCCCCCCAAACCTTCTAGACACCTGCCCTGATTCCTGCCCTGAGCCCACTGTGGAAGAATACATTGTCTTTTCTTGCTTCTACACCACCCACCCATGTCTTGATTCCTGCACCCCCACAGCCCTAGCCCCCTAGCCCTGAAGGACCCAGCAATGCCAGGAAATCTTCTAGCATTTGTCAGAGCACAAGCACGGGGCCTGATTCCACAAGCCTCTGCTCAGCACATCCTCGATTCCTGCCCTGAGCCCACTGTGGAAGAATACATTGTCTTTTCTTGCTTCTACACCACCCACCCATGTCTTGATTCCTGCACCCCCACAGCCCTAGCCCCCTAGCCCTGAAGGACCCAGCAATGCCAGGAAATCTTCTAGCATTTGTCAGAGCACAAGCACGGGGCCTGATTCCACAAGCCTCTGCTCAGCACATCCTCCTGCAGCCAGGGAAGGCAGAGGAATGTCTCTCTTCCCCCGGTCACACCTCTGGAAGCCTGGGAAGGGACAGCAGTGTCTAGTGGCCCCTCTGAGCAGGGATTTTGTGATTCCCAGAGAGATTCTGTCATGGCAATGGCTAACCCAGCAATGAGCCACCTAAGTACCTTGGGGAATCCAGTTGGCAGAGTTGCAGCAGAACGGGTGCACGACTCACTTACCGGGACAGTTTTCCATGTTGAAGAGCGGGAAGTGCATGACGGTGGGCGTATCCTTTCCCTTGAAGATGTAGCAACCGGAGGGCTTGTCTTTGTCCTTAATCACCTGGGGATCTACCAGGGGAAATGGGATCTGATTTGTCTGACAATACTCGGACGTGCTCCTGATGGTCTGGGGAGGAGGGAAAATGGATTATAAAATAAATCATCAGAATTGCCACTAGTACCATAAGATATCGCTAATATGGCCAGGCTAGAGCCTTAGACGTGCACCTAACCTGAGAGACACAAGCATTCCAAGGAACCTCTATGGAACTGCTTGACAGGACCTCATCTGGAGGCCAGGCACAACCCAATTGGCACATCTGTGCAGCCAGAATTGTTCTATAACAGCACTTATACTATTGCTGTGGTGTCACAAGGAGGAGGGAGAAAAATTGTTCTCCTTGGCCTCTGAGGATAGGACAAGAAGCAATGGGCTTAAACTGCAGCAATGGAGGTTTGGGTTTGACATTAGCAAAAAGTTCCTAACTGTTCCTAAAAGTTCCAGTGGTGAAACACTGGAATAAATTGCATAGAGGGGTTGTGGAATCTCTATCCCTGGAGATATCAAAGAGCAAGTTTGATAGACACCTGTCAGGGCTGGTCTAGATGGTGCTTGGTCCTGTCCCTTCCAGTTCTAGTGTTCTAGGACTCTAGGGCTACATCTACATTGGCATGATTTTGCACAAAAGTGGTCACTTTTGCGCAAAAACATGCTGCCTGTCTACACTGGCGGGGAGTTCTTGGACAAGAACAACTGACATTCTAATGTAGAAAATCAGTGCTTCTTGCACAAGAATTATGATGCTCCCGCTCAGGAAGCCAGTGTAGACCGGCAATGTTAATTTCTTGTGCAAGAAAGCCCAATGGCTAAAATGGCCATCGGAGCTTTCTTGCGCATGAGAGCGTCTACATTGGCATGGATGCTTTTGTGCAAAAGCACATCTCTTGAGCAAAGGCACATGCTAGTGTAGACGCTCTCTTGTGCAAATACTTTAATGCAAAAAGTCTTGCATTAAAAGTATTTGCCCAAAAACTTGCCAATATAGACGTAGCCTATGATTCTATGAGTTTATGATTCTACAATTCTGTGCTTTGTACCCTGCTCAATCCCAGTTCAGGCTTTCGACAACATCACATAAATTACAGATGTTACCTCGAAAGGATCTCCCGAGCTGAAGTCGAAGGAGAGGATCAGTTTCACGTTCCTCGCTGAGCGCAGCACCAGGGGGTAGGCGGAATTGATAGCAAGGCCGGCGTCGATCAAGTAGATTAATTCTTTGTTGGTCAAGCAAGTGGCTTGGGCCACACCTGCAAAAATGCATCCAGGTCTTGGTTTTTGGGTGAGGATTAAACTCCCTTCATACCCCCTTCAAAGCTCTGGGAAGTGTCTGGCAGCTGAGTGAGCTGCTCCCTTTGGGGAACAAACAAAGAGTGAATCATTAGGATGCTCCTGTTCTGCCTAGCTAGGAACCCAGCGGCAGGCCGGCTGTTGCTGCCAGGGGAGGGCTGGAGAGACAGCTGGGCTGCCTTGACATTCCCAGCACTGAGAGCTCACAGAGCTAGGAGGGAATCCCTAGAAGCACAGGGTTGAGCTCTGCCTTCCTTCCACACTGCCCTGTGGGATGCGGACCCAAAATGCTTTGCTCTGTCACCAGGGGAGCTAGCCACTTGGCCAGGAAATTCCAAGAATGGGAGGCAGGAAAACCAGTTTGACCAGTTTGTCTGTGGACAGCATCATTGTCTCCAAACGTTCTCCATGTCGATACAGCCTTAGATCCACAGTCTGGCAGTCATCCTGCCTGGCTCCAGGTCACGGGCTCTGATTCCTGGCCTCTGACTCTGCTTTCAACCCTCAACACCGGCTTTTCACACCAGCTCAGACTAGGCATGACTCCTGCTCCAACCACTAGACATTAGGGTTGTCAGATGGTTTAACAAAACATACCAACCCCCCTCCCCCCCCCAAAAAAAAACCACATCGGGAAATCTGTTGAGTAAAGAAAAAAAAGTCACTGCGCCTTTAAATTACCAAACCGTCCAGGTAAAAACCAGAACCTAGCAACCCTACGAAGGCATGGCTGCCCCATCCTGGTCACCGACAGGCCGCTCATTCCAAATGAAATGAGTGGGAGTTAGGCGCTGCACCTGCTTGGATGCAGCGCCTAAATGCCTTTAACAAGCTGGGCCTAGGTGTCTAACTCCCATTAACCCTCTGTGTCTATTGATATTTTTAGGCACCAGAATCGTGCCCGGAGGTTCCTTGAAAATCCTCAGTTCCAAAATTGAGAAATTAGCCTCCAAACTGGCTCAGTGGCTTATGGACATCGTGCATAAATACGAATTTGAACAAGGGGTTGGTCAGTTTCCATTCTTGCAGAACTCGGCTGCCTTATTAGTAAGATGTGACCCAGGGCAAATTCCGACTCATTCTAACACACGGCGTTGACCCTGGCTCCCAGCTGCCAACCACCTGAACAACTAAAAACTCCACGTTCCTTTCAGTTTCCACGCGGAGTTCCTTTTATTTATGTCTCAGGTTAAGTCTAGAATACAGACTTTTGCCAACAGAAGTTTTGTTGACAGAAACTGACAACAAAGCTTCTGTTGACAAACAGCATCTAGACGACATCCAGTTCTGTTGACAAAGCAAGCCGCTTTGTCAACATGAAAATGTAGACGCGATAATGTAGACGCAACATGATAATGTAGACATGATAAAGGACAGTGTAGATGCAATAACGCCTTCTGTCGACAGAACTCTGTTGACAAAAGGTGTTATTCCTCATAGAATGAGGTTTACTGCCATTGACAAAACTGCTGAGTTCTGTCGATGTTATGTCGACAGAACTCAGCTGCAGTGTAGATGCAGGTATAGTTTTGTTGACAAAAGTCCACTTTTGTCAACAAAACTCTGTAGTCTAGACACACTCTCAGAAACACTCAAAAAGGTAACAGGAGCAGGTCAAAAAAAGAAAAATATCTTCTCCACCACCAAAAAATGAGTTGAGATTTCAAAGTTGTTTCAATTCCACCGTTCATTTCCTGTTTCTTGTGAGCGAGATTTCATTGCAAGACTTTGCTGGAAAATCATGATAGAGTTTTGGTTTTGGGTTTTGGTTTTTTTGTGTGAGAACGTTCATTTTACAAAACAATCTTTTCCCACTCAGAATAAAACTATTATCTTTGAGAAACATGGACCAGCACTCTCCTGCCTTAAAGAGGATGGGGGATGCTTTGAAATTTCATTCTAATAAAACCAGGCAAATAACATTTCCACCCCAGATCCCTAGCTCTCAGGAAAATACAAAACAAACAAAACCAAATACAGGCAGTCCCCGGTTACGTACAAGATTGGGACTGTAGGTTTGTTCTTAAGTTGAATTTGTATGCAAGTCAGAACTGGTACATATTGTAGGGGAAACTCTAGCCAAACATTAGTCCAGAGCTCAGTTTTATTCTCCCACACCTCACTTCCCTCAGTCCTTTATTCTCAAGCTGAGGTGTCTGCTGAGAAAAGCCGCTCCGCGTCTCCCTGGTCTGCTGGGGGAGGGGGGCGCTAGCTTCG